TCTCTCAGCTACAGTTTATGACACCATTTTTGCAACTTAGCAGTCTTTGAAGGATCTTTATGATTTGAATGTTATCTTCAGAGTGTCAAGAAAAATATCACAACTGTGTGATTTTTTTCATATGCATTTGCAACTTTCAGAGTTAAGAAAATATTTAGAGGTTAAAAATAAAAATCATTTAAAGAGAGCAGCTAGATCAAACTAAACCTCACTATTCTGGACACTGCTTATTCCAAAAAACTGATATCTGAATTTTATAAATTAATAATGTATGATTATTAATTTATTATTATAATTAATAATTATTTTCATAAGAAAATGAGATGTCAAACTTTAAGCTAATTAAGAACAATGATTTAAAACTTTTAATAGCATCTCTTTGCCATTGATAATGAATAATCTTTTGATAATGAATACTTGCTATCTGCACATTAACTGTCACAGATAACCTTTATTCATATTGTACTAATACATGTGATTGAAAAGGCTGTGTTCTTAAAACCATTCTTCTGTTTGGATTTTTCTCTTGTTTCATCCTAAATTAAGTTTTATTCTTTTTGCTCTTTGCCTTCTAGTTGTGCCTCCCCACTTAAAGCTTATAGATCTTTGCACTCTCCTCTTGCTCTCTTGTCCATCTTCCAATCCCACCTCATTAGGCTGGTTTTCCTTAATGTAGATTGCACTAATTCCATGTACTGCTTCCTGCCCTGCAATTACCAATGCTCTTAAACTAGGATTTCAGCTCTCCATTCATTATGCCTTCATCTTTGGATAGCAACAACTGTTTCTATGTGGTTTGTGGATTTTCATATTATTCCTGTTCTCTGGTATGATCAAACTTGTAAAGTGGTAAGTTGAATTGCAAAGTAGAAACACATAAAAGATTGATTGTGTATCGAATACCTACCATGTGCTAGGTGACTTACTTAATTTAGTTCTCAACCCTCTTAAACGATATAGATATGTTTTATTATTATGTATATTTTACTTATAAGTACACTACAGTTCAGAAAAGATAAATATTTTCTTCTAGCTCGAAGAGCACCTAAGTAAAGCCAGGTTTCAAATCTAAGTAGGTTCATTTATTGATTCATTTCCTTATTCAACAAACATTTATTGAGTACATACTATGTGATGGTCATGGCCCTAGGTTCTGTGGTAGATCCAACATCCACTCTCTTGGACATTAGCTATGTCTGACTTCACAGGTGGTGATCTTTCTGCTACACCAGACAGCTTAGGAAGAACAGAAAATAAAAACAGGAAAAAAAGGTGTTCTGTTGTTTTCTGGAATAGACACAGTTGCTACCCATGTAAGAAAGACTGTATTTGTAAGATTACCCTATTGTATGTAGTTCTGTAGAGAATTTTGACATTCTGCTTCTCCCACCATGTCACCACTTTTAGCACTAATGCCTTTCAATGAATGGCATCACTACAATATATATTTTTCTTTATGTTCTAAAATACACAAAATCTGTGTCTGTAGGCTCAAATTCTCTAGAAGATTTTAAGACAGAATTAATGATCCTTCCAGAAGTATGTTTTTAAAAAGATGAAAAACTCTATATAAAGAATATACACATTCATCAATCCACCCATTCATACATTTTTTATACCCTGAAAAATATTTATGATGGCTTACCCAAATAAACACAACAGAATTTTTTGAAATACCAACATGAAAAATAGGACAAGAGAAAATAAAATGAAACTAGGTTGTGTTTAATAAGCCTACTGAAAAATATCCATAGGTTTTTCTGTTTACCAGAGTAACTTGATTCATGAGCATCATAATTTAAACTAGTAGCACAGAAGAATATTCATATCTTGTTATGACACTTTAAAGGAAATTTTGCCTGTATGTATTTCTAAGGAGGATCACAGTATAACATGGTGAACAATGACTTCAAGTAATGCATAATGTAAATAAGAATTTCACTGAGAAATTTTATTAGATCCAATTGCATATCAAAAAAATCAAAGTTCAATAAGATGATTCTATGAAAAATAAAAATAGATATTCCAGGTAGATCACTCTTCAGTGACCTCAGGACAAAACATGGTATATTTTTATAGGATTTAGAAAAATTAATGAATTGCAATTGTTAGGCAATTTTTATTGTGCTAGCCTGGGAATACATCATTTTATGTGGATCTCTGTAGTCATATTTTGTTTCAGCAAAATACCTGAGGTTGGATGTTTTATAAAGAAAAGAAGTTTGTAGTTCATAGTTTTGGAGGCTCAAAGCCCAAAATTGGACGGCCCTGTCTGTTTAGCCTCTGATGAGGGCTCCCTTGACTGCATCAAAACACAGAAGAGGAGCAGAAACTGCTATTTATAGAAGAGATCACACAGCAAAACTGAAAGCCATAAAGGCAGTGGTCAAGCTCAGTCTTTTCATAACTAATTTTCTCAAGAAACAACTCCGGGAGACCAGGATTAATCCATCCTGAAACGGTACACCCCAGTGATCTAATTTCCTCACACTGAATACCACATCTTAAATTTTGACTGACTTTAAAATTCTGAATCTTCCTGGGGGAGGGGAGGGGGCAGTCCATAGCAATCTCCAAACTTATCAAATGTCAGCCACTGCTTATATGGATGACTTTTTCAAGTACATAGTGAAGTATTTATCCAGACATCTCCTTTTATATTGTTCTCATTTATTATGCTTGATTTGGAGGCTCTAAGATTTTAGAAATTATAAGCCTTAATAAAGCATTTTATAGCACAGAAATAGTGTTCCTTCTCAGGAAGACTCAAAATCATAATAGATATTACTAACACAACGTTTAGATAGTACTAGCTCAACACAAACTTAACTGATGGCAACTCACTTTCAAACTTAAGAACTTAAGGTTTCTAGACTGGGATAGTAGCTTAGAAATAGAGCACTTGCCTAGCACATATGAGGTACTGGATTCTATTCAATACCACATAAAAATAAATAAATAAAATAAAGGTATTGTGAACATGTGCAACCAAAAAAAAAACTTTATAAAAAAAAGAATTTAAAGTTTTCTTTTCTGTTGCCTGATGGCCTCTCTATTTAAACAGGTTTGGATGAGAAGTATTCTTTTAAAATTTCTGCTGTTGTTAAATACTGCACATGCTGGGATTTGGTAAACCAGAAGATTGTATCAATTTTAGTAGTCTATATAATTTTAAGGGGTGCGGGCTGGGGATGGCTCAAGTGTAGCGTGTTCGCCTAGCATTCGTGAGACACTGGGTTCAATTTTTAGCACCACATAAATGTAAAATAAAGATATTGTGTCCACCTAAAAAAACCCTAAAAAACAATAATATTTGAAAAAAAAATTAAGAGGTGAACTAATAATTTATGTGTTCTAAAAGTTTGTTTATAACATCAATTAGCATATAATACATATTTGCATTTTCACTGCTTTATCAAGTCCTCTATTTTTGCCCAGAAAATTTTTTTACGAGAGCTACAATCTTATTTAGAACTGTCACTCTATGTCTAATGAATATTAAAATATCAATATATTCCTATATAGAGATATAAAATATCTCTATATTCCTTTATTTACTGGAATATTTTATTTTGCAAGCTTTGTTCCTTTGTTGCTTTCAATTATTGTAAATTGTTTCACTTATATAAAACAAGACTAGAAATGGATTAAGTCATGTTTTTGGCCCCCTACATTTAGCCTAAAATGTATCTTTACCATTGTATTACAACATATAGGTGTACTTCATTTTATGGAGCTTCAATTTATTGTGCTGCATGAATTATTTGTTTTACAATTTGAAGATTTGTGGCAACTCTGCCTCAAGCAAGTCTACTAGCAGCATTTTTCTAATAGCATGTGTTCACTTCATATCTGTGTCACATTTTGGGAATTCTTGCAATAATCCAAACTTTTCTATTATTATTATACCTATTGATCAGTCAGCAGCCATCAGTATCAATGCAACACCCTCAACCAGCAAAACGTTCAGATGATCATTAGCATTTTTAGCAAGAAAATATTTTTGAATTATATACTGTTTTAGATGTAAGGCTATTTATACTTAATAGATAATAGGATAGTGTAAATCTACTTTCATATGCACTAACAAACCAAAAACTTTGTGTGATTTTATTAAGATATTTACTTTATTGCAGTTATATGGCACAAAACCTGGACTGTCTCCCAGGTGTGCCTTTATACCTGTCCTTAGAAAATGTAGTTTTCCTTTCTCCTTCACTGGCTTCTTCCAGGTTTACCTTATCCTTATCTTAAAAATGTACTGTTCTAAATTTCCTAATATATACGGCCTATCATTTCATTAATTCTTTTAAAACAATCAGATGGTTAATTTATATTGATATCTATGATAAATGGAGAGTTTTTCTTCGAGCCTGCACATGGGTAAAGTTGAATTGATAACTTCTTGTCCCTTTAAATTATGTTATACAATCATAGAAGTAGGAGGGATATAAGATGATCTCAGGTTTTCATGGACTAATTATTTCTAGAGTACTAGGAAAAGAAAAATGCCCACCTTTCTTACCCTGTAAAAATCTATTGAACTATTAATAAGACTCTGAGACTTCATTTTTGGAATTTAGTTATTAAGCAAAATGTGATTTCTATCAAATACTATTGAAACCAAAGGAATATGATAAGACTGCTACTATAAAAGTTATCTGGGTTTTTTTTTGGGGGGGGGTCCTTACCTTTAATTCAGTGATCCTGAAAAAAATACAGATGTTTGAGGAATTACAAAGTATGGTTTATAAAAAGCCTGGGTTATGGGCTGAGGTTGTGGCTCAGTGGTAGTGCACTTGCCTGGCATGTGTGAGGCAATTGGGTTCAATTATTAGCACCACATTAAATAAATAAATAAATAAATATCTGTCAACAACTAAATATATATATATATAAAGAAATCCTGGGTTATAATTATCTTTTAGTGAATTTACTACTCTGCCTTCCTTCTTTTTTGGCTAATTTCACTCAGTTTGCTATTTAATCTTTAATTACAGGCCACAAAAGAAGTAATAGAACGGGAAGCGCCAGGGATGGCCCTGGCAATGCTGATGGGATCACTTAATGTTACACCTCTGGGCATGCTCTCTAGGTAAGAAAGTAACCAATGTTACAAAGAAAGTTAATTCCAGACCACTATGCAGTATAACCCAACTGATAAGTGTAAGAAACTTTAGTCACAACACTTAAGTTCACACCTTTTTTCCTGGTTTAAGTTTTAGTATGTTGTCTAGCTAGATCTGGGCCATTTTCAATTTCTGGGTTTTGGTTTTGTTTGGGTTTTTTAAATTTTTTTTAATTTTTATTTCTTTTCTTTTTTTGCATATTATGTTAAAACCTTTAGAGAATATTGATTACAATCATGAAAGAAAAATTCAATTCATGTTTATAATCTCTTGGCAATTGGTACATTTAAATTTTTATATTAATAATATATACTTTCATTAAATTATATAGTTTAAATTGTACCTTCATTGACATCCATCTTCAATCTGATGACTGAGTTGTTACTATTTTAGCAACTCTTAGATTAAAATCTCCTAAGTGAGTATAATATACATCATTTAAGATGGAACTATCAGCTTAGTCAGAATCTGTTGATTTAATGACCATTGATTAATAAACACTTGATCTCAGAGCAACCATAAAATGCACAGCAACTTTATGATTTCAGAATTTCGTAATCATTTATAGCCATTTACATCCTGTATGCAGTATGGATGTAAAGGTAAATGTACCCATTTAATTGTATGGGATGTGATTCATGATGCTCTTTTGGTTACTTAATTTATATTCCATCAATGTCAGCTGCTACAGGAGAATGTAAACAGTGCATTAATTGCTATATTCTCTTCACTTCACATGTACTATATAACATTAAATTTAGTAAGAATAACTCAAGAGTTAATATAGCATTGTAGAGATTTTATATGTAAAAGTCCATGCCAGAGTTTAAGGAATTCAGGTTGATTCTTTCATATCTTTTTTTAAAAACCCTTACTGATATTACCTATACCTTTGTAGTCCAGGGTTATATTTGATCTCTTTTTTCCTATGTAATTAAGTAGAGGTTTTGGAACATAAAAAGAACTTTTACTGGTATACAAGATATAATCAAGAAATAATTAATCTTCATATCTTATTAATTTTTTGTAATAACATTTTAATTCAGGAGGCATAATAATATACTTATTTGCCAGGTGCCATAATAAACATGAGGGATTATAAGGATAGAAAGAAAAATAAGACATGATCCTTACCTTAAGGTAAACAGTTTAACTGAGGATCCAACAGTTTAACTGAAGAAATTTTTATTCACAACTGTTAAGATAAACCTGTAACATAAGGATAGCTTTCTTGATATAGTATAGAAATAACCACTTTTTTTTTCTTATTGAAAGGCTTTTCTGGGTTAGTCTCTCCCCTTTCTATAGCCCCATAATTACTGAGCACTGCCCTGCTGAATGTGAAAAGTTAATTGGCAGGAGCTACTTCTAAGTATTTTGGAATAAATCAATCATCTTTTTCCTGAAGGTTTTGAAAATGTGTGTGTGTATATATATATATATATATATATATATATATATATATATATGTATTTTTACATATACATATTTAATAACAAGTATTTTTATAATATATATGTATACACACATACACACTTTCTCTTCTTCTGGCTTTTCTTTCTGTTCATTGCTGATTTATCTGAGAGGGTTAGTAGTCTACATTGGCTATGAAAAAAAGTAACTGTGAAATATTTCCCTGAACTTTTTGTACTTTTTTGTACTTTTGCACACATGAACCTTCAGGAGTTAGTTTGGGACTTGAGGAGTGGCATACTTATTTTTTAAAGGTATTTCATATATTTCTTTGAGTGTGTTCTCTATATTCACAACTCACAGATGTTTCCAGGACTTGAGTTACTTCATACACAGAATTAAGGTATCCAGATTCTGTAATTCACTCCTCTCCAAGAATTTTACCTCACACACAAAATTCTAGGGACCCTCCTTCCCAGTTACTCTGAATAAAACACATTTCTTGCAGAGCCTTAATATACTTTGCTTTCATGTTCTTCTGTACAATTGGAACATCTTTGGGACAAAAGGACAAAAGATTTCAAAAAAGAAAAAACTAAGATTTTCACCCCAGCTCTGTAGAGAGTAGGGACCCATTTTCAGTTCACACTAGCCAGAGAGATCAGTATTTTCTCTGGGATTTAAGGACTCACACCATCATCATCATAGTATTGCAACTCCAAACTCAGACTAGCCTCATTAAGGATTGTTATTCAGGTTTTGACTTCAGTCTCAAATCTTCCTATTATTCACATACAGAGTTGTTAGGTAGTGACTCTGCATGAACAATCAGTAAGAAATGCTGTTTTTAACTTCTTGGCCAACACCACAAGATCCAAGAGTAACAACTTTATCCTTAAGGTCAGATACTTGAGTTCATATCCTAGTATTACCTAACATTTAGTGCCACCTTTGGCAAGTTATTTAGCTAAATCTAGCACTTTCTGAACCAGTAGCTAATTACACTGCTTGCAAAATAGCCGCATATAATCCCATGAGTCTGTCATTTATGCTTATTCATTTTAAAAAATCAAGTATTTTTTTTCTTTTCAAACTAATAATACTAGAGCAACCACTGTGGCTGTAAATTAAGCTTGATTTATCCTGGGTTTTATTCTCAGTTTTGTCACTAACTTAATTTCTGATCTCTACTTAATTTTTCAGGGTCATAACATAACTTATAGATATGAAATAATATCTTACTTACATAGGTTGATTCACTGAAACATATCTAAATTATAAAAAGAAAAACTGAGTGCTAGTGTTTTATTTTATAGAAACATTAAGCATTATAATCCTAACCCCATCTTTCAATTGTGTTTTAAATATTTGGTTCATTTAGGTGAGGTACTTAATTGGTTTTTTAAAAATATGAAATAGAATAGGACCAATCTATTTTTGCTATGATTTATCCTATTACCTGCCATAATTTCCAATTTAGTCTTTATGCTTTATCTTGTTAGAATAAAATATAAAAATTCTTAACAAATACATTTTCTGTTTGGGAAGAGGAGGGAATTTTTCCCTTTTATGTTAAAAATAGATTTATGCTAATATTGGTTTAAAATAATTTTTCCTAAGGCCAAAAGATTACTAAACTTAAATTTTGATATTTGAATTGACTTATCTTACTATTTATTGTTAAAACAACATGTGTCACTTAAAATAATTTACATTAGCAGTACTCTTATTGTGAAGAAGTACTTATTGTGAAGGTACTAAAAGAAATACAGGATTTGAACAACACAATAAACCAAGTAGTTCTAATGCATGTAAAATGAAGATGGTTGAGTCGTGAGCATCAGCAATATGTCCAACTGTACAACAGTTGAACTGGCAAAATATTTCTGAAGTAACTATTTTGGAATTTAGGAATGTATTCAAAAGCTTGCAGATTTCAGGGGAAGTCTTGATGGCAAATTTTATTTAATTTTGATCACTTTCACCCTAATTTAGGACTTGCTATCTCCCAACCCCCTAGAACCACAGCAGGCTAGTGTCCCTAGGACAGCTTATAGAAGCCTTTAGATCATAACAGCCTAAATGTCTTTAATCAAAAAAGTTTACAAGAGACAAATAAGTATATATATTATTGAAAGTTTCAAGACAGCATACTAATATGATACTTATAAACCTATGATACTTTTAAACATATATGTATTTAATAACAGACAATTCAAATAGATGAAGCAAAGACTGACAAAATTAAAGGAATGCTATGCAATAATAATTAAAGAATTTAATACTTAAGATTCAATAATGGAGAGATAACTAGACAATAAACTAAAGAAATACAGGATTTGAACATCACAATAAACCAAGTAGATCTAATGCATGTATATAAAATACCTAAGCAGCAGAATATTCACCTTCTCAGGTGCACATGGGATATTCTTTAAGTTAGATCAAGTGTTAGGCAAAAACTACACTCTTAACCAATGGGTTTAGGAGGAAATCATAAGAGAAGTTAAAAAATACCTAAAGGTGAATTAAAACAAAAGCATCCCATACTGAAATTTATTGTATACAGAAAAGCAGTGCTGTTGTAACTGTGAATACTTACATTAAAAATTAAAGATCTCAAAAAAACTTTACAACTTAGGGTACTAAAAGAAAAAATTAATTGCAAAGGTAGCAGGAATAAGAAAATAACAAAGATTAAAGCAGAAATAAATGAAACAGAAAGTAGAAAAACAATACAGAAAATCATCTAAACCAAAAGCTATTTCTTCACAAGTTCAACCAAACTGACTTTAGCTACATTGATGAAAGAGAAAGAGAGAGATGACTCAAAATGATTAAATTGGGAATGAAATGGAGTTATTAGTACTGATTCCACAGAAATAAAAAAGACTATTAAAAAAATAAACAACTGTATGCCTGTCAGAGACCAGGTCCAACAGGGGGTCTCAGGAGACAATGGATGGTGAGGAGTCAGCATAAAGGGGGGGGGGGTAGAGAAACAACACAGACACCAAAGTGAAGGTGTTGATCCCTTGTGATTACTTGTGAAGTTGATCATATATACTTTTCATTTTGGCAGGCTCACAGTACTTTGTGGTTACAAAACAGGAATCATTATTCAAAGAAACAAAATATTATGTAGCTACAATTAGAATAGAAGAATGTATCTTGGCTTATGCATAAGCAAGCATTTGTACTTTCAGTCCGCGTTTTTCTTTGAGCTGTTTCTGCTTAGTTAACTTTTAATAATAGTTACAAATGTCCCAAACTATTGGCCTATACCTTGACTATTCTTTCTTGACTTACTGACTGGAACCTGTGTCATGGTTATGGCAAGTGGTTGACTTGTTATTAATTTTAATCAAGACACTTCTCAGAGGAGGACATACAATCAATCAACAAGTACATGAAAAAATGCTCACCATCTCTAGCAGTCAGAGAAATGCAAATCAAAAC